TCTTATCTCTCGTGACTAAATTTTATTTTTGTATAACTCCTTGTATTCATCACCCAATTAATTTTTCTTGATGAGATGAAATGAATGTGATAAAATAAAAATATGCATGAAATATGGGATGCAATGTAATTTGACATTTAGATACCATCATAATATGATTTGTTGCTAAAATGATGTATTATAAATATTGATTTAATGTTTGGTATCATAAATGCTTTATTATCAGGAGTAATGATGAAGGTTTTGAACATAAATGTTTGTATCATGTTTGATGATTTTATATTTTGAAATTATGCATAATGAGTTGAAGTGATGTTGGTTTAAATGTATAAATCAATAATTTTTTTATCAAATGAATCATGATTTTTGTTAATTCTTGAATTATAACTTAAGTTTTCTTTTTTAATCAATATCTCTTCTTTGTACTCCTAGATTATTTTATATTTTATTTAAGAGGAGATTTAATATATGAATAATGTCTTTTGGTATTTACATGATCTTATCTCTTATGACTTAATTTTATTTTTGTATAACTCCTTGTATTAATCACCCAATTAATTTTTCTTGATGAGATGAAATGAATGTGATGAAATAAAAATATGCATGAAATATGGGATGCAATGTAATTTAACATTTAGATACCATCATAATATGATTTGTTGCTAAAATGATGTATTATAAATGTTGTTTTAATGTTTAGTATCATGAATACTTTAAATGATGAATATTTTGTATCATGATCAAAATATTGATAAATGCTTAAAGATTTTAATGCTTAAATATCATGTATGATATGCTCATAATGATGATTGATTTATTTGTATAATGCATGAAAAATGAAATGTATGGTTTTGAAAATATAAATATTTTAATTTGAAAATAAAATGATACACAAATAAGATTGATACTTAGCTTTGTCATAATTGATGTAAAGGATCTTCCCTTCTCTTTGTCAATGACAAAGGGGGAGAAAGAGTTGGTAATGTGCTATCTTGAATTGATGTAAAGAGTCATCTCAAAGAGAAATTAGGTAGCTTGCACAAGTCAAGAAAATGTAAAAACTTGCTTACTTTCTTGTACATCTAAAGAGAAGATGCAAATGTAACACTTGCCAAATTGTTTGCTTGCCTCGTGTAAAATATTGTCTCTTGCTAGGTTAGCATTTTGCTAGCTTGCACTTTGCAAAAAAAATAAAAATATCACTTCTCAAAAGATAAGAAAGAGCTTGCTATCTTGAACATCACGAGCTTGCCTATCTTAAGAAACAAAAATTGCAAAAGTGCTATCTTGCCTATCTCAAGAAGTAAAACGTGTAACTTGAATATTGCAATAGGAAGCAAGAATCATAAGCTTACACAAGAAAGCTATCTTGCATTTGCTTTCGAAATTTTTGCAACCTTGTATGTAGTAAAACTTGTATATCGTAAAAATTGCTAGCTTGTAGTCTAAAGAGAAGCAAACATTTGCTATATTAAGAAAAGCAAACATGCTAATCTTGTACATCTTTAATTGCTAGATTGCATGATGATAAAATTTGATACTATGTTTTTCATGCAATGAGTTGAACTTATATCACAAACACTTGATTGTGGTACTTCTCCTTTTTGTTGATGACAAAATGGGAGAAGTATGTTGATTATATGTCATGATTTTATTATGACAGGTTGCTTAGATTTTTTAATCCAAGAGTTTCTATCAATATGGTATATTGATAGGGGGAGTTTGTTTAAACTCCAGGAGTTAAGGTTAACTCCGTCGTCAATTGGTTGTCATCATAAAAAAGGGGGAGATTGTTGAATCTTGAATTTTGATGATGAAACTAATCAATATGTGTTTATATTTTAATCTGTGTTTTGAGTGACGTAGGATGCTTCGATCAGGATGAGATAATTAAAGTAAAAAAATCATGTTGGGCCGGAGGAACATGTCAAAAGATTGGACGTCGGGCCGGTGAATCGGTCGACGTATCAACAGAAGGCTTCGAGCCGTGGATTTGGGCATCGGGCCAAGAAGAGCGAACATTACGCCAAGGATATCGAAGTTGCGGAGTCAACTAGCTGATTGGGCAATAGGCTGCAGGAGAGGACGATGCGCTGAAGAATCGGACGAAGAGTCGAGGGACCAATGACATACCTAACAACTTGATTAGATGTTTAGGATTAATTGTTTAGATTGAAGTGTGTTTTACATGTGCAGGATTAACTATGATAGCAAGACATGAAGCAAAATGAAGTACCGGAGTCAAGTTCGATGGGTGTTCGAGAGTCCGTTGAAAGTCCGAAGAATCGTCGGAAGTGCTGTCGGAACCAACCGAGAAAGAATCAGGGACTTACTAAAGTTTTTGAAAGTCCGCCAGAAAGATCGTCGAAGGTTCGTGGAGATCATCGAGAAGGTTCGGATACTTGCTAAAGACTCGTTGAACTCGCTACAAGACCGGGAGCCTGTTGGGAGTCCGTCGGAAGAAATCCGAGGGTGTATCAGAAGTCCATTGGAAGTTCAGCGGAAAGCTTGCTAGAAGGAAACTCGACGTTGCCGGTTAAAAATTTGCTTAGGGCTATGTCTTAATTTCGTAGTTTACATATAATTTGGGTTAGGATTAAGGATTAATCCTATAAACCGGTTAGGGGCCAATTGAGCCCGAGTTTGGACTAGTTTGGGCCAAGTTTAGAGCTCAACCAGTAAGCTGAAATAGTCTAGACAGTGGCACCGCACAGAACCCGAAAGGTCGGGCGATGGCACCACGCAGAACCCAAGAGTTCTGGCGGTGGCACCGCCAGTACACTATCAATGTGAAATTGACAAGCAGTGGCACCACTAGTACATTGTCTATTAGACACTAACAAGAGGTGGCACCGCCACTGACAGGTGGTGGCACCACCAACACCAGAAAACCCAAAAGTAATTCAAATTTAGAGTCCAAATTTGAATCCTCTTGGGGCCTTTAAATATCCCTCAATTCTCAGTAGAGAAAACACCTTTTTGAGTAGTTAGAAAGTGAGAAAAAGCTCTAGCAAAGTCTTATTTTCAATAGCTTAAGTGTTCACCTCCCTCTTTCTCTTTGAAAAAAATCTGTAAGAGTGTGAATCACTTGTAAGAAGGTTGTAAGAGGGGTATTTGGTCCTTCCCTTTCAAAGTGATTTGCTAGTGAAAGTTGAGAGCCTCATCAAAGAAGGCTTCGAAAGTGGATGTAGGTCATTTGACCGAACTACTATACATCATGGTGTTCCTTGAATGTGTGAGTGTTTAATTTTCTAAACCATTTCTCTACTTAGCTGCAAATCATTTGGTTTTCATCTCCTTACTCTTGACTATCTTTACTCGAGCTATTTTAGCTAAGTCATCCTTCGTCGAATCGAAATCTCTACACATTTACAAAATCGATTTTAAACTTACGAGTTTTAATCCGCTACAATAATTCCCCCTCCCCTCTTAGTGCCTCTCCGATTCTAACATGTAGGCGAAGAGCGAGCTTGGTATAGCCCACCATATGAGTTGAAGGGAGAGAATTGTTGGGTCTAGCCTATATATGGGCTTAGACAATTGGGCATATTGAGCCCAAATTATTAATAAAAAAAAAATTAATAAGGGTGCAACATGTGGGTAGGGAACACAACGTGGAGCGAACGATGGCGCAAAGAAAAGAGGAGAGAGAAAGTAAGGTTTTTGAGTTTTTTACTTGACGATCGGTGGGCAAACGTTGTCAGCTTTGACCAAAATTTTATGTGGAGAATCATTATAGTAAAATCAACAATCCTAACGGTGTTGATTTATAGTTTATCCTCTCTGAGGTACTTTCCTACTATATCTGCTTTGTAAGACCTAGAATTCTTTTACGAGGAGATCTATCTGATATGCTATTCTTGAGTAGATATATGTTCTTGATGTTATTGTGATCCTCTGGTTATTCTAGAGAGGTTTTACTGTAAACTTGTTATCATTACTATTATTGATAGTGGAAGTTTGAGGTGGACTACGGCCCTGTGGTTTTTCCCACATTAGGTTTTCACGTTAAAAGATTTGGTCTTACTGTATGATTGATTTATTGCTCTATTGTTTATGCTGTGCTGGTTGATATTAGCATTTTGATATCAAATTAGTATTTTGATTAGGAACTCATTTTGATATAGGAAAAAGAATTATTCCGTTTTAAAAAAATTTTCTCAATAATTTTTGTTCTTCCAATGGAATGCATAGTAAAATTAAGAAATTAAAATATTTTATTAAAATTACTTATTTATAATTTTAAAAAAAATATAATTATATATAAATATAATTGTTATGGTTATTATAAAACTTATTCGAAGAGATGAAATCAAATCGAGATCTATCCTTTTCATCATAGGTTGAATTGATCAAAAGAAGAATTAAATTATGAACAAACTAGGTTGCAAACTATGTTGAGACTATAGTAAGTGATGAAAATTTTTTTTTTCCTAATAAGTATAAAAGTCCCACCTACCTTATGGTTGGTGGTGATCGTATATTTTTTTTATCTTTTATTTTGTTCCCCTTCACGTTTGTTTTGGGAGATATTAATCTTAGCCGGAATGATATATCTATAGATCCACATTTCTTCCATAAGAATATAATTATATATATATATATATATTCATAATTAAAGGTTAAAAATTTTAATTCATATTGATATCCTTGAAAATATATCAATCTAATACAAATTGATGAGAGATATTTCAGATTTTTATGTTTTTTCTCATCTAAACTAATTATTCATAATCGTGTTGTATTTAGAAGGACGAATACAAAAGTTAAGGGTAAATATGGAATTTTATAACTCTCCCCCCCTTCAGCACGCATAAATGGGCCCATCAGAAGAAGCCCGCATCATTCGAGACGCAACCACGACCGTCCGATCCGTTGATCTTTGCTGGTGGCTGTCCTATTTAACACCCCCATCTCCGAAACAGCCATTAGGGTTTCCCGCAGTTGGGGTTGGCTGCTCTTAGTCGGCGCATCGGTCGCGGGCACCCTCATCGGCGGAGATGGTGAAGGGGCGGCAAGGCGAGCGCGTCAGGTGCAATCCGATTTGCTCTTCGAAACCCGATCCTCTTTCTTCTCTCCATTTCGATTTCATCAAGTTGATCTCTTATTGCTTGCGCTGTCGTTTGATCTCGATTGCAGGCTGTACGTCCGCGGGACGATCCTCGGATACAAGAGGCAAGTCGAGTTCTTCTCGGGAGTCGAATTTGTTCCTCGTTGTTAGTTGGACTTGTCTTCTTTTTCTTCTGTGAGAATTGATGAGGATGTATGGATCAGGTCGAAGTCGAACCAGTACGAGAACACATCGCTGGTCCAGATCGAGGGGGTGAACACCAAGGAGGAAGTCGCTTGGTACTGCGGCAAGAGGATGGCGTACATCTACAAGGCGAAGACGAAGACCAAGGGGACGCGGTACCGGTGCATCTGGGGTAAGGTCGCACGCCCCCACGGCAACAGTGGCGTCATCCGCGCCAAGTTTAAATCCAATCTGCCGCCTAAATCCATGGTGAGGCTCGAGTCCCTGCGTTAATTCGTACTCCAAAGATCACATTTTTGCTTAGGTTTTCCCTCGTCTTTGTATCTGCAGGGTGGAACGGTCAGGGTTTTCATGTACCCCAGCAACATTTGAGGAGGTGAGCTTTTACTGTCACCTTTTATGAAGAATGTCTTTTCGAGAAATGTACTTGTTTGGTTCTATTTTCTTATTGTTCTCTTGTTACGGAGAATGTCTTTTCGAGAAATGTCACTTGCTTAATGTAGAACATTAGAAACATCTTTTGAAGTTCCAAACAGATTCTAATGTCGATAGAGGATTATTTGCTTTTGATATCATGAGAGAAATAATCTGTGTGTTATTGTTCAAATAAATCCTTAGTCAATGTCATTCAGATTGAGAGAGAAAGAGTTCTCCTGGAGAATTCGATTAGAGCGAGACTCGAGGAGAAATCGTATGGGCCTGATAGCATCATGCTCGCTATATGGTCTCTAGGATATTAGATGGATGATAGATTATAGGTATACGATAACTAAGGACAGATAGGTTCAAAGGATTGGATTTCCCTGTATCGTTTGAGGACTATGGCGTAATGGTCTAGTACGTCCGCAGTCGATGAGTTGAGTGAATTATTATAGAGATAATAAGTTATTGCGTCAAAAGGAGTTCTGATAAATATGACTCACAACCAGCTCGATATTGGGCTTAGAGGGTCAAACACATATGGTAAGTGTTGCGACGAGTAAATATTCAGATATGAGATATCCGTTGGAGCCCTTATCTTATTGGATATCCAATAAGTCTCTGTATTATTGGATCCCATGGATGAGATCCAATAAAGGCTAATAAGATATTATTGGGTAAAGACCCATTAATTTAATAGGCTTGGGTAAATGGATGGAGATCCAGTACCTAATAGGGTATGATCTATTAGGATTAACTAGGGGTCTCTATAAATAGGAGGGAATTAAAAACTCATATGCTAGGGCTTCTTAGTAGTCTCCTCCTATTCCCCTCTCCCCTTTCTCCTCCTCAGATAGTAGGTCTTGAGTTTTGAGGAGCGTCGTCGTAGTCCTACTGTGTGGATCATCGCTAGAGAGGAGAACTCTTGACTTCCATCATCCATTCTTATAGATCTATAAGGATTTAAGGATATACAATCTCCTTAGGTAATACAAATGTTTTGTACGTGGTTTTCAGTTTTATGAATTTTACGTATCAATCTTCGCACGATGATGAACACCTTTTGGAAATTTAAGATTTTTGTCTTCTATTCTTCCGTTGCGTATGTGATATCGCCTTTAGAATTCCTAACAGTGGTATCAGAGTCAGGTTATTCGTGTAAATGATTGGTTTTGAACTACGTGTATTGTGTTTTGGAAAAGCTTTTTGCGTCAAAATCATTGACGCAAAAGCGAGAAATGATAGAAACTATTGCTGCCCTTGTTGCTCTTGCAGATGGCTGCAGTAGGCTTGCTGCTGGCGACTGGCAGCATGATTAGATTTTATTTTGGATATTCCTATTATAGAGTCCATTAATAAAGCACAAAATTGTTAGTGGGACACATTGCCAGTCTTGGAAACAAGAACATTGCCTAGACCCCACATTGGGTTTGATGTTTGCATTCTGTACATCTGTGTTTGAATTTTTAAAGTTCAGACTCTAGCACCTTAACTGTTACTATTATATAAAATAACTATAACTAAAAATAATTAGATTCTGTTTTGGATATTCCTATTCTGGAGTTCATTAGTAAAGCACAAAATTGTTAATTGCACTAAATAAAAGCAGTTATGTTTTGTGCATTTCTTGTTTTACCTATTGAAATTTATAATCATTGGCTTGGTAAGACCAATTATCTTGCCCAAGCACTAATCAATCTCAGTGATTCAATGACTCATGATCTAAAATAGTGAACCAACTTTCTCGATTGTGAGTTATTTTGTTAATGTAGACTGACCACCGTCGTTTACCATGAACCAGGATATGTGAATCCATAGCCATATCACAACTCTGAATGTTCATTAACCAGTTACACGTTACCTTGGTTACGAATGATTGTGCCTGATTAAGAGCATAAGCTGTCAGAACAGTATTAAAAAAATATAGGATGCATCATTCTGAAATCATTAATTATCAATTTGAAGGGAAGATTGTTACATCCAAATAAACGATAAGAGACCAAGTTGTTTAAGTTAAACAATTTTTACTAGTCAACACTGGAGATTTTCACATCAAAGAGTCATCATTCCTTTGTTCTTGTTGAACTAATGTATGTTCTTCCATAATAAATAAGCATATAATTTTCACTTAAAAACATATTTGTTTCAAAAGCATACTATATTTCTTATATGTGATGCATGGTTCTTGCATAAAATAAAGATCCATACAAGAAGAAAGATGGATAATTAAGAAATCAAGAATTTAGATTGCTTATGCGAGAAAAATTCCAAAACTCAGATACTTTTCTGCATATGGATGCTTGTGTTGATAAACTTGCCGAGAGTCTGATTGCCTAGTTATGACTCTTGTATACTTTGAATTGCTTTTGTAACGCTCCAGCTTTGTCTTTTTCTTGATCAGGTGAGTCAATGCTGCAGTGGAGATGCTTTTCGGAATTTGTAGCTGAGATTTTAAGGGGGATTGAAGCTAAATTGTGTTCCTTGTTACTAAAAGTAGCTTGACTAGTTATGATACTTTATTTGGACTACTTACTACTCGTGTTAGTTTTGGGGGTTAATTTGCTCTTTGAACTTAAATTGACTCGTCGGAAAACTGCTTCTACTGTGAAGGGTGATGTTCAAGTTCATCTCTTGTGTAACTTATTGAGCTAATTAGAAAACATTAGGCAGTTGTGATATTGTGTCTCCTTGCGGTTCCTGGTAAGATAATGTTGAACAGCACAGTAGCAGATAGCAGCAATCTACCTACATGGAATTTTTTTCACTGTTTGATGCTGTGTCTGCTGTACTGAGCCGTACCGCCCGTACTGGGCGATATGTATCGGTCCGACAGGTTGTCGACATGTGGATCATCTCGTATCGGTTTGTACTGTAGCAGTGCTACAGTAATATTGTAGCACATTGTAGTAGTGTTACAGTGCTCGATACACCTGGGTGTATCGCTCGGTATATCGTACCGTACCGGTATCGAGCCCAGGTCGAAATATCGATATGGTATGGTATATGTTGGTCTTGTCTAGAGGACAAACCTTTGAGATGTTATGAATTGACATAACCTTGAGCTTCTATCGATTTAATTTTATCTAATATTCTATCGACATTAAAGTCATTAGTATTTTTGTCTCATGATCTTATATTGTTATTTATCATATCCATTATTATTCTAGAGTCGGAAACTCTATAAAAATGTGTAATTTCAAGAAAATATTTTATCCATTTTAATTTGGTAGCCATTATTCTTATTTATAAATCATCATCATCATGTTCCCGTTATTCTAAAACACTAAAAATATTAATATAAATAATTAAAAAAAATGTGCAGTAGATGATAAACATCAGACAAATTATATGTTATATTATTAAAATTTTTAATTTTTTTTACGCACATTCTGATGTCGAGGATATAAACAAACAAACTTGCTTAGCATTACTTATAATTAAAAGTGTATAATAATTATTTATATTCAAAAGAATCTTTAAATAATTCATATGTAGATTTTTATCGGTAGAAATATCTTAGGAAATATTTTGGGCTTTTTGCCATTTAACTTATAAAATCAGAAAGGAAAGTCTTAAAAGATCTAAGTTCACATTAATTCACAAGCACATCTAATATGAAAACAGATATATAATCAAATGCAGGTTGGCACACTGTTTGTAATTCTAGAATAGAAGTGGTATTTGTCGATGCATTATCAAAACCAATAGAAAATATTTTAGAACCAAATAATATTCCTCTAAGATCATTTTTATCATTCCATAAATATTATGGTTTGTATGTCATTCATCTGACTCTAAAAGTAATAATATATTTTTTATATGATCTAGTCACTATCAATCCAATGACAAATGAAGGAGTGCATTTACCAATGGTCACTCTAAATATCTATTTAAATGGATATCCAAAGTTTTTAAAAAAATTTATAAATATTTTTAATTTTTATAAAGATTATGTAAAATATGAGTAGGAGCTTTACAAATAAGATTTTTGGTGAAATTAAATGTAGAAATGTAATGTTAAAAAAGAGTTGGCGGTGGTGCAAGAAAGTTCAAAAATAATTTTTACTAAAAGATTATTTTTTAAAAATTAATAAAATTATAAATTAAAAGATATAAAACCTAAAAAAGAGACTAAAAAATGATTAGTATGATAAGATGTAAAGCTTATGATAATTTTTATAATAAATTAGGTATGAAAGATGATGAAACATATATATATTGAATTGTTAAAAGTGGAAAAGGAAAGTGTAAGGGTTTAAGTAATATAGGATGCATTAAATTGAAGATCAAAGAATACTTGTTAATAATAATGAGATTAAGGAAAGATTCAAAAATAATTTTTATAAATTATTTAATAAATATTCTATGTAGGACTTATATTTAATAATAAATAATAATGATAGATTTAATAATCATAGATTTATTTATAAAATTAGAACTAATGAAGTAAATATATATTAAAGAAGATTAAAGAAAGTGTGGGGTTGATAGTATCCTTATTAATGTTTGAAAAAGCTTAAGGGGCAATAGAGTAGCTTAGTTAACTAACTTATTTAAAAAATCATGAGATTTAGAATGATACATAATAAATAATGAAAGAGATTTTTAGTTATCGAAAGTAGGATAAGACATACATATATCTAAAAATTAATTTAGTTTTATGCCTAGAAGTTCAACCATTAAAACTATTTATTTATTAAGATAATTAATAAAAATATGTAAGGAGAAAAAGAAAGATTTGTATATAGTTTTTTATTGATTTAGAGAAAGTCTACGATGGAGTTCCTAGAGATTATATTGATATATCTACTAACTATATTAATGTTATTAGAGATATGTATTGTAATGTAGCTACAAATGTTATATAGTAGAGCATGCTAATGTATATTATTTGTTGATAAGATTATCTTAATTGATGAGTGCTTAAGTTGAATTAATTATAAACTTGAGCTATAGAGATATATCTTAGAAACTAAAGGTTTTAGATTATGTAGTATTAAAACTAAATATATGTAATATAATTATAATGATTTTAGAAATACACAAGAGAATATAACTAAATTGGATGGATGAATATTTTTAGATTAATTATTCAACAAAATGGGGAGATCGATAAATAGATTATTCATAGAGTAAAATATGATGGTTAAAATAGTGAGAGGCGTTAAGAATCTTGATCATTGGATACCTTTTCATAAGATAATTTTGAAACTAATAATACTTTATAGCGATCTGAGTGTTAAATATATATATATATATATATATATATATATATATATATATATATATATATATATATATATATATATATATATATATATATATATAAAGTTTGTATTGTCGACATCTGAATGTTGAGATGGATGTGTAGGTTACTAGAAAAAATAAAAAAATAATATTTTTATTCGTGAACAACTAGATATCGCTTTGATAGAGGATAAGACGAGAGAAAGTCATTTAATATGGTATGAGCATGTGATGAGAAAACCTCCTGATATGGTAGTCAGAAAAGATGAAATAATTAATATCAATATTACGAGGAGAGATAATGAAAAACTAAAAGTTTTTAATATAAACTATAAATAAAGATTTAAATACTCTGAACTTAACTAACCATATAACTTTTTATATATTTCAATAACGAGAGTACAAGTGGTAAGAGAAACTCATTGTGCTACTTATTTAAAGCCTCTTGATAATAATCAATAAATTTGATCATTTTACTAAAACTAATAGATAATTGTGACGATAAATCTAGTTCATGATTTTTTTTTTCAATAGAAAATAAAAAATGAGAGAAGTAGGGTACGTAAAAATATATATAAATTCGACCCCTCTCTATATCAAATGTCTTTTTTTGTTTGTTTGTTTGTTTGTGGAGAAGTAGATACGACATGTATGAGATGATAGTATAAGTAATCTTAATACATGTTAGCTGTCAACAACATGGCATCTGTCATGAATGAATGAATCATTTTTGACGTGTGACTCATGCGACCACAAGCATACAACACGAATAAACCACAACTGGCAATCCTCTGAGATAACAACAATCCACAGGAATACATACAGCCTTTGGTGTTTTCAGAGAGAAACCAATATTAGCCAAAAACCACCTTGTGAAAACTAAACAGCGATGGACAACCAAAAGGTTGCAGGAGCGAAAGGAGATGGACCATTGTTGTTTGATGGTGAAGTCTGTCAGGTTCGGGTGGTTTCTGCAACAACATCATCACAGGCATCCTTTCCTGCAAAAAGCTATAAATGATGTCTGATAGATGGTGTGCAGATGTACCACCAAAATGTTTCCTACAACAACTAAATCTATAGTTCAAGACTGACAAAGAGACTTCAGTGATAGTTTCTGATCTGAGATCACTTAAATTGTGCTCTTATTTCATGAAGTCCTCTGTAAAAAAGAAAATTAAGCTATAAATGATGTCTGAAAGATTGTGCACAGATGTACAACTGAAATGTTTTCGATAATACCTTAAAACGATGATTTACGGATTCTATGAATATAGTTTGATTCCTTGTACAATATATGTGGCCATGATGATGATTTTATTTGTGTATATATATATACATATATATATATATTTATATATATACATACATATATATACATATATAAGTAAAAATAAATACCGTCCGATATAGACGGTATTATTCGAAATTAAAGATCTTGCTTGAGACCCCTCAAGTGATTTGTACCTAGTCACAAGAGCATAAATTGTTACTCAGTCGTAGAAGCATAAATTATCCCCTCTTATTGGTTTTCATATTCAAAAGATTTTTTGTTTATAACACAACGGGGTTTATCCTTTTATGGTATTTGTGAGCTTTTATTAACCTTAGTTGACTTATATGGGTTTAATATAATCTTTTTTCCCTTATGTTTAAATACATAAGTGTTTATGTGACAAAAATGGGTCACATCTATGTCAAAGAGCCACCATGGTCATCCTAAAAGGATATAAGCAACTTCCATGGAAAGGACATCACACCAAACTTATCCTTGATAAGTTAAAAACTTAATGAGAACTAGACAACGTTGGTTAAAAGGGATAGTGACTTTATTTACCCATGCTACCTTATAGGGTTAAGAGGGTGTTTCAAGTTTTAGTTCATTCTTTCGAGGGCTCTTATGGATATGACATTTGCACTACTACCCCATCAATAATTATCTTACAACTCTTATCACCCACTCTAATATAGGTATGAAAAATATTGGTTTGTCTCCAATCCTCCTCTATCTTGGTGTGGTTAAGATAGATACATCTCATGACAGCAAGGGTTTTATCATTATTTTCATTAGCTAAACGGTCTTCATCAGTAGCGACATCTTCAAGGATATGTGCTAATTCTTCTTTGAATATTTCATTATTTTCTAGGTTATTTCCCATGTGAAGAGCTCTTGATGGACATTGATGTACAAAATGTGAAACAAGTGGAGTTTAATTTTGTCGCAAAAGTTCAACAATCTTTCCTTAAATAACTGTAAAGCATTGGAGGACGTGAATGTAACTTTGTTCTCCGCATGTGAAGTCAATATAAAAATAAATAAATATATTGAGGACTAAAAAATAATTTTTCATAAGCTTTTTCTCGATATAACTAATTTGTAAATAAGTAAAGCGTTGGAGGATGTGAATGTAACTTTGTTCTCCACATGTAAAGTTAATATAAAAATAAACAAAGATATTGAGGACTGAAATGTAACTTTTCATAGGCTTTATCTCGATCAAAACGATGATTGAT